GAAAATAATTTTGTTTGAACTCTCAAAAGAATCTATTGGTAAAAAATAATAATAAAGCCCATCAGAGCCTACATCAGCTGTTTGGATGCATAGAAAACACTTTATTTTCGTGCGTATATTAAGTTGGCACCCCAATATTGAAATTCCATAGTTCTGATTATAGTTCCCGTTTCCTTTTGTCCAGACGAAGAGTTCTCTATAATTTATAACAAGAGTTCCGCTTAATAACTATTTTTAAATAATAAGCCCACTCTGTAAAAACGTACCAATAGATGGCCCACCCTGTATAAAAAGACATGTCGATGTGCGGCGCGCGGCGCGACATCTAGTGATTTTTCGGAGTTCGAGCTTTGGTTTAGGATCCCCTTAAGTTGGCACCCCAATATTGAAATTCCATAGTTCTGATTAATGATTATAGTTCCCGTTTCCTTTTGTCCAGACGAAGAGTTCTCTATAATTTATAACAAGAGTTCCGCTTAATAACTATTTTTAAATAATTTTTTAAAAATGGGTTGCTAACTTCTTATCGAAATTCGAGATCGAATAGTTCTGAGCGGCTCAATAGCTTTATTTATTGAATACCTAGAGTTCCTGACACATAAAAAACAATTTTGACAAACAAGAAAATTAAAAAACAAAAAAAACGATTTTTGATCACTTCTTTAATTTCGCGTATCTTGAATATCGTTGGCCCAATCGCTTTGTCACCTGATACTTTTCGATAGAACTCGCCGAGAACTCCCCAAAACGATAATCAGAACTCCTGGAACTCTTAAAAAATTTTTCGACGTAGGACTTTGAAAATTTTCGACTACCTAAAAAATTTTTTGAGAGTTCCAGTAGTTCTGATTATCGTTTTGGGCAGTTCTCGACGAGTTCTATCGAAAAGTATCAGGTAACAAAGCGATTGGGCCAACGATTTTCGAAATATGACATATTTGATAGATATAGTCGAAAATTTTTAAGTCCCACGTCGAAAAATTTTTTAAAAGTTCCAGGAGTTCTGATTATCGTTTTGGGGAGTTCTCGATGAGTTCTATCGAAAAGTATCAGGTGACAAAGCGATTGGGCCAACGATATTCAAGATACGTGAAATTAAAGAAGTGATCAAAAATCGTTTTTTTTTATTTTTTTATTTTCTTGTTTGTCAAAATTGTTTTTTAAGTATCAGGAACTCTAGGTATTCACTAAATGAAGCTATTGAGCCGCTCAGAACTATTCGATCTCGAATTTCGCTGAGAAGTTAGCACCCCATTTTTTAAAAGTTATTTAAAAATTGTTATTAAGTGAATATCGCATTAAAAAATACAGAGAACTCTTCGTCTCGTTAAAAGGAAGCAGGAACTCTAATCAGAACTATTGTATCTAAAAATTGATTTTTCAAAAATTTTCAATTTTTTGGAGATTGTTCAAAATTTTTTTTTATCCATCGGGAACTCTAGGTATTCACTAAATAAAGCTATTGAGCCGCTCAGAACTATTCGATCTCGAATTTCGATAAGAAGTTAGCACCCCACTTTTTAAAAATTGTTTAAAAATAGTTATTAAGCGGAACTCTTGTTATAAATTATAGAGAACTCTTCGTCTGGACAAAAGGAAACGGGAATTATAATCAGAACTATGGAATTTCAATATTGGGGTGCTAACTTAATATACGCTATTTTCGTGTGAATGTAAGAAAACAAATCAAATATAAACGTTTAAAATTATGTAAAATATTTAAATTGGTTGCTAGAATGTTAAAACTTTTTTACTTTTGTACTTTTGTCATCTATATTTATTATCATCGATGTTACACACAACTATTTTGATGGTCCACCAAAATGATTTTGGGATCTGTATGTAGCTAAATTTTTAAATATTTTAACAAAACCGTTCTTTCCATATATGTAATATAGTTAAATATGATTTGATTTCATATACACATAGCACAAATTGTGCATTTTTTACTTTACTGTTATCTAACTATTCAAAATTTTATTAAATGGCTTCTATTTTTTACAAGAGTTTTAAAAAATTTCGATAGTGTCGACCAGCAGTGACCATCATGGCAATTAAACGCGTTCTGTTTCAGAGATTTTCGGATACAATCAAATCGTTTCTTTTACACGCCGCAATAACTGCTCGCGTTCGTCCCGATTTTTCAGCGTTACGAGGTCACTAATTGAAGCGGTTACCGCATGGTTCCTTGTTACAGAGGCACCTCGTGGGACGTATCTGCTGATAGATGGCCGCCGGCTAGATCCCGGAAACCAGTTTGTGCCGGTGAAGGAGGGCTCGGAGCTCACTCTCGAGTGCGCGGCCGAGGGTGGAAACCCACCGCCCATCCTGGCGTGGGGCATGACCTTGTCTCAAGCCACTTTAGACGGCCCGGAACAACCGCCAGACAACCTCACCGTGTTGCCCTCAACATCCGGCAGACGCAGCGGGGCTCACCTAAAGGTCTTGAGGGGACATCACAACGCCACTATCGTTTGTGTCGCGCGCCACATTACGCTGATGATACCAATGAACGCCAGCATTCTGCTCGACGTCCAATGTGAGTATCGACAATACAAAATTGCATCAACTGTATTACGTTCAAAATAATCTCTAATGCGAAAACGACGAACGCAATTCATCTTTTGTTTATCTTTTTCTTAAAACTAAATAAATTTAAAAGAGCGATGTTTTTCTTTAATAAAATATTGAAATTATCGTTTCTTGTTACTCTTTAATTTTTCATTGAATTTCTTAATAGAGGCACTTTGAGTGATTTTTATCAAAATAAATTGACTAAAGATCAATCGAAAATGAAGTTTTGTCATGTATTTACGTCTCTGAAAAGATTTTTTTTTAATTTTTAGTTTAAAATATCTATATAATTCGACTTCTCTGAAAACTCACAACAAACCGGTACGGCAGAATACAAAAATAACAGAAAATAATCAGCAGTTATCATACATATGCATGAGCTTAAATTGCGTTTTGAGATAGAGCCAGTGTGAAATAATTCTACCACAGGTCGTTTTTACTCAGAAATTGACGGGCACACGAGCCAGTGAAATTTCCGCGATATTAAACCTAGTTGCGCGCCATCGTGCCGGAAATGAGTAATGTGTGTTAAGGGCGGCAGACGAGTCGTGTGCCCATCGAAACTGAAATATAAACTTAATTAAGTCTGAATCCGGCGGCACTTGCGACTTGTTTTAAGTGAGCTCGTGAACTGGGAAGAAACGACTACGTGTTGTATTTGAGGTGCGACGACCGTGTTACAAGAGCCTGCGTAGAAAGAGGTTGCGGTGTCGGCGTTGGGGAAGTCTCCCGGTGTGCAGAGGGTGGGTGACTTCAGGGGTGACGCCGTGTATTATGCGACATGGAGGTAGTTTATTTTGCGTCGTTGCGCCTCTTTCGCCACTCTCGCATCCAGCAGTCGCGGTCGGAAAGTCTCCCCCGACTCGCTCTCTTCGCCGGCCCTACTTTGGGGAGTGGCCCAAGTCGCCGAAAGAAGCTTCTCCAGCCGGTTTCGAGGCAAACTCCGAGGGATTAACGGGAGTTCCGCAGCGCGGACAAAAACCGGTAGAAGCGTGCGAGCGTTCGCTCGCACCACCCCTGCGCTCTTTTTACCGCACGTCGCCTCTTCGGGCGTTTAGGGGAGGCTCGTCGAGGCGAGACCGCGAAGATATATCACCCGAAACTGGTTTCCTCCGCCTTCTCTTCTTCTTCAACCGGAGAACTTCTCGGTCATCTCGTTTTCGCTCCTGCAAGATACAGAGTAGAGTATATTCGCGATCCTCGCTCTCGATCAGTTTCCCAAATTAAAAGTAAATAAGGAGTGATTTTTCAGATATCTAGTTTTATGTTAAAAGGAAATACATTGTAAAATACGCGGAAAATACAACATTGTGTTGGGAAACGAAAATTTCGAATAACTCATAGTATAGTTCTTGAAAAAATAATTCAGTACACTCTCTAAATTTCTTGCAGTGAAATCTCACTTCAAGAGGGTGAAAATGCAACCACCCTTGAAAAAAAGTAAAAATATTTCACTTCTTGAAAAAAAGTGACGATCTTCACTCTTTTTAGAGTGAAATCTTACTTTTTTGGAATGAGATTTCATTTTTTTGAAATGAAAATTCACTCTAAAAAGAGTGAAGATCGTCACTCTTTTTTCAAGAAGTGAAATATTTTCACTTTTTTTCAAGGATGGTTGCATTTTCACTTTTTTGGAGTGAGATTTCACTGTAGGAAATTTAGAGTGTGTTCTTGTATCTTGCATTATGACGAAGCTACAATCTTTATAAAAAAAAATAAACGTTACTTTAATTTTAATAATAATGAATTAGGAATGTCTGCATTCAGGACTGACGAACAAATGCCCTGTTATGAGCTACAATTTGGGAAACTCTGCTCTAGATTATAGAGTCTGTCTCGAATTCCGCCGTTCGCGGACAGTTCTTCTTTGTGGTGGGTGCAAGGAGAGCAAGCCCATTGTACGCCGACATTACTTCGCTCTTTTAATCCTTTCACGCCTGTCCAAACGCCACGTCGTCCGGCGGCCCGAGGCTGAACGAGCTTCCCGAGAACTTACTCCACGAAGGAGAAAGTTCGCTGCGAGTCGTTTAACCGCTGGGGAAAAAGACTGTAAGGATATCCGAGACACGTGAATTTTCCGTCGGGAATTTTCAAGGACACCGCCGATCGATCGCGTGATTAATGTTGCCGTCTTGTAATGAACTTCGAATGCTCGTCTTGGGAATGATACTTATCTAACAAACTAGATAGATAACTAGAATTTATTTCACGTTTATCGTGGAGTATCAGATTTTTCTGAAAATATGATATAAAGATGAAAAGGTAAATGGACGAAAAGAAAAAATAGAGACGATGCGCATTTTCAATTTGTTTAATATTCATCGCAATTTTACTCCTCGAAATATTTTCTCCAACTTGATTTGAGAATTTTCGCGTTCGTCATCGAATTTGCGGTGCGGATATCTAATTTCAAAGACGATACGGGCGTGAGCAGTCGGGCTGAAACGTCTCGAGGATGCAAATTTTCTAGACGAACAGCTTGCACGCTTGGCGTCTTAGACGGAAGAGAGAATGCGGGTGCCTTACGGGCGATAGTGATATCGTACAGATCGGCTGTACGTCTTTCTTCTCTCTCTCTCTCTCTCTCTCTCTCTCTCTCTCTCTCTTTTTCTCCTCTACTTTTTTGTCGCGAATTTATTCCAGCCGTACTTACGTACTTCGGCTGTCGCGCCGAGGACAGGACAGAAGAGGTACATTTGTCGGCATCTGAGCGAGCAAATTTTCCGGTAGAACGGTCGCTAAAGGCGCTTGGGGTGTCCTGGGACGCCTTTATGACACCGGGGTGAAAGGGGAGCCCACGTGGTGACCCACTTTCCATATCGTTGCGGCGCATCGCCGTTTGTCATTACGCGTAATGCAGGCTATTACCGGTTGTCATCGCCGGGTCCTCCCCGTCCCATATCGAATAAATGATTTTACTTTTAAATCGCACCGCGCGGCCGACAACGCGATTAATCATCGTGCCGCGTTTGTCGCCCCGAGTCGAGTCGCGCGAGCGGATGCGCCGCTGCGACCGTGGCTATTTTACATAAGTTCGACTCTCCCGACCAGAGTATTCGATTTGTACTTGCCGGCGACGGCCGGAAAACGCGATCGGATTCGCTATAAATCACGCTGATTTTTGGCGACATTCGTTATTTGCAACTGACCCGAATACGCGCGGCGGCAACTTCCGGAACGGTCTCCCCAGCCCGACAGGGCGCTATGAATATGTAGCGAGCGTAGCCGTAAAATTGTAACCGCAGTTGGATACACGAGCGAGCAAGACAAGCTTCATCTCAATGTATACATTCTAATCGATCTATACGCGCGTTCGTTTCGTTAAACCGAAGATTCGCGCTGTGAATGATGAAGAAGTTTCGGAAAAAGCTTATTATTCTTTTATGCGGTAATTACCAAAGTATCCTGCAACTTTGTCCATCTTAATTCTTAGTAGGTATCGTCGGAACTTCCAACTTCGACATTCTTAGGCTTTTATGTACAAGTTATAAAGAGTGATTAAATTATTCGTTGTATCATAAAGTTCAGCAGATATCTAAATCAAGTATACACTGAATAGTATACAGCTATTTTACTTTTACTGATATTGAAGTTAAAATAATTATTTAGTTTAAATAAGTTTGTATATGTTTGGTAACACCATAGATTATATAGGAGGTTATTTTGTATGCTCTGATATATTCGTTATTGCTGTTTGAACTGCATGGCGTAAAGATTTCTAAAAGGGAAAACGATATTCTCACGGAAATGTAATCTCGCAAAGCTTTGTATTAAGTCGTCAGTTATGATAACAACTAATAACACTTGTACGTATTTGCACTTGAAATACTAAAGTACTAATTGGCACTTCAGGAATCTCTACATCGTGCCGTTGTTGTCGTACGGAAACACTACTGAGTCGTTCTTGTTAGTTACAATGAGAATTTAATCGCTCTGAAAGAGCACACAAATGCAATAGTATCCTACATAAGTTATGACAAAGCGCTGTTTGCACAGTCGCCATTCGTAATCCGATTTCAGCTTTGAAGAAGTAATTGCTGCAGATTTGTCGGGTCAATGTGTCAAATAATTAATGCTCCGTCGACGGGTAACTCTTCTATGCATATATTACGTTCAAAACAATTATTTAATACATTAATAGGTTCTTGTTTATCACAAAAGAAAAAAGATTCGATATTTGCAATAAATCTATTAAATTTATGACTGCAAAAATATGGTTGTTATAGATATTGAATAATAATAGGAAGCAAAAAAAAAGAATAAAAACTTCGATATTTTTTTATTTGATGATATTGGAAATTTAATATTATTTTCAAAGTATTGTGCCATGTCTTACTTACAGCTATCAATTATTTAGGTACCTGAATATATAGGTTACTTGAATTTTTTGATCGAGGCTTGTTTCTTCAGCCATGAAGAAGATATGCAAATAACGTAATCATCATGCTTATCGCGTTCGACTTCTGAAACTTTTTTGATCACTCTCAGACGCGGCGTATTTGACGCGCGTAACGTTCAGAGGAGGACCAACATTCGTTTAAGTTCGCGTGAAAGTTCACGATATTGGCATGGTACTTTGGTTAATAAGATGCAAAATACTTGGGAACTAGCCGTCGCCAAAGACGACAAGCGGGCGAAGATCAATATGCATTCTAGTCATGAAACGTAGAAGTCTCGTCAAAATGACATAATCTACCTGCAAAAATTACAATCGTATTTACATAAATTTCAGAACGTACGCTAACTCAATTTTTACTCTAAAAAAAAAAAAGGTATTATGAATCTTTCTATGTAGCAAATACGAAAAATTTCGATTTTTCTAGATTATATTAATAAAAAGTTTGATATAAACTCAAAGTTTTCTGACATTTAGTACACGTATTTCAATCAAAATGTTCTTTTATATAAATTAATTAACGTGAGCAAAAATTAAAAGTAATTTAGCCTAGCTTTAGCTTTTATAAT